TATATATATATATATATATATATATATATATATATATATATTTATATTTATATATATATACAGGATGTTTCAGATCATCTGTACCACTTATTTAAAATAAAGGGATCAACATTTTATTAAAAATTCAAAACATTTTTTCACTAAGTCGAGCACGCTCTATTAAATGGTGCTATATTCAACTTTCAGTATTGACCGGAAGTGAGTTATTTAGACCGGAAGTTTAGTTATTTAAATGGAATACTCTATTTTTTTGCAGATTCAGATTCTATTGTGAAAAATACGAAACTTATGTTTGGAACATTTTTTCCGAAAATGTGTCCACCGATCTTGAAATGACATTGAAAGTTTATCAGCTATCAGACCTCTTCAGAACTTTCTAGCCGCAGTGCGATAGTCGCCTTCATATGATTTGACTTTTTAACATACTCCAAGTACTGAAATAAGTACTTCTACTTAAGTATCTTACTTTCAATTCTTCGTGTACTCCAATCACACTCAAAAGTTTTTAAAAGTGAACTGACTAAGGTTGGAATCGGGACAATAAAATGAATTTTTCAATTAAACATAATTTTATTATTTAATTTTTTGTTATAGTCGAAATTTAGTAACAAACTTAACATTTATTTAGTAACAAACTTAACATATACATAATTTTTATTCAATTAGTAAATCCTGTCTAGGCTAAATGTTCAATGTGAGTTCCATTATGTAAAAAGCAAATATCAATTCTTTTACATGTTAAGTTTGTATATATATATATATATATATATATATATATATATATATATATATATATATGCATACACATATACATATATGTTCTAAGCCCTGGAACAAAAACGTGACTTTCTGCTTGCGGGACAAGTGCTTTTGCGCAACTGAAATAACCAAGCTCTTACTTCGATGTTCTTCCTCTCTTGCTCTTATTTATCTTAACTGTCAAGACAATATTCCATGATAGTTCAATCGTTCATAACTGAACCCTCCTACGTATCATGCATTGCTAATAAAAATTTCGAAGATTAAATTATAGGAAAGACTAGGCTAATTGGTTACCGAGATAAATTAACAAAATGGATTATTTTTACTGTTTATTAACATATTTCAGAATCAAGCACGCAAAGACTTCAAAACCATCTTTGACATGTTTAAAAATCTTACTTACTTGATTCTGTAATTTATTAGAAAATAGCAGAAATAACCGTTTTTGCCAACTTAACTTGATAGTTAACTATGATAAAGTATAAATTATTCAAGTTACAAGTACATTTATTGGGAAGAGCACACTTTGGATCACTTTTGCAGGCGTATATAATTTCGTTAAATTTTAATAGCAGGACATTTTTCGCTGAACAGACACAGCTTGTGTTAGGAACCTGTGATCCGCGAAACATGGATGAATTTTTTTCCGTGTATACCGATCAAAACGTTAGTCCATCCAGTTTGCCGATAACACCCTTTCCAGCGCGGTCGCTTCTGTTAATTTTAACCCTTAGTGTTAGTATTGCGACTTCGGGTAACCGGATACACACGCTGCTTTAACCCGTTTAGAGTCGGCCCGCATTGATAACATCGATCGCATCTGTTCGGCATAGTTTGCGAGGTGGTGAGGATCCGACGGGAGTGCAGGGTGAAGGGGAGTTTAGGAAAAAAAACATTTGCATTAGCGCGCCGCTCGCCGCTCGCCGAACGCAATAAAGTGACCAAAGATAAACTATCGAATTGACCAAGTTGGAGATATTGCCTCGCAATAACGTTCAGCCCGCAAAACGGCGTATATATGTATGTATGTACGTACGTACGTGCTATACGTGTATGCTGCACCACGTCACCCTCCATTTCCGGTCTGCTATTTGTAAATTCGCATTGCAAATAAAGTTACGAGCGCGCGAAAAGCTTCGCACGAATCTCATCAATCAGTCCGATCGAAAGTACCTCTGGGATTATGCACTCGTGTGTCTCCGTTTCGAAAAAGGACAAGTATATAATATGTATATAATATTTTCGCGTTTTCCTCTCGACAGCCTCTCTAACATCCTCTTCAGTTAACCAAAGCAGAACATTGTCAATTATCGACTATAAAACTTTCAAATTCATATTCGTCTTTAACGAGAAATAGCTCCTTCCTCCTTTCCTTTTTTCATATTTTCTTAAATTTAAAGAAAAATTATATTTGAGAATAAATCAATTTAATTGAATAACTTGGATAACTGTTATTTAAGTGAGGTTAATATTTGTTACTTATGAATATAATACTCTCATTATTAGTAAAGTTGTAAAAATATGTACCAATAATAATTTATAGTTAAATTAATTGGAACTTTTATTTTGATAAAAATGCATATTCCCTCTCCCTCTTTTTTTCGAATAATGTTCAAACTCAGATTGCTGTTACGATGGAATTCAGAGATGAAAAGAGGCGACCGCAGTCGAAAAAGGAAAAAGAATCCGATGTACTACTTTATCGCGGAAATGTTGGCGACGGGAAAAAAACTGTTTTATTCGAGAGGACCGGAAAAGGAATGATCTCGCTATCGTCCAATCGCGTATGCAGTAGCATCGCGATAGAGGATGGGAGCAGGCAGAAAAGGCGAGCAAATCTGCTCCCGCGGAGCGACGGGATAAAAGAGACGATTTGCAAACTCGCCCTCGGAGTGGCACATACGGAGCACCGATTCCAGTCGGAAGGCAAACGCAAGCGCGAAGTTATCGTTTATAAAGATTCAACCTGACAGAGAAAAAGGGAGCTGCGACAAACTTTATGAATTATGGAGCTACCCCGCATTGGGAAAATAATAGGCGCCGCGGTCCTTTCGATTCCTTCGACTCGCGTGTGTGTCAACTGAACGTTTCTAATCTGAATCCTATTTCAGAGAAGCACGAAAGGCTCGTAATACCGGATGACAAGTCCGGGACGAGCGTAGATCGGGATTATAATTCGTTCAATTTTAAATACAAAATTGCTTTTTCAAATAATTTTTCTGGGTTACGAGCTCGATCGTTCGACTAGCGCGGAGTGCGGGAAGAGCAACAATAAAAATCGATAACGTCCAATTCTGGCTTTACATACTTTTTTTTAAAGGGTGGTCGCATTGATTCCCCTCTTCTTCAATATCTCATTACCCTGAGAATATCACATGGACAGAATTGATTGCCGTTGTCTGATAAATACGTCCAGTTACAGAATAGAGTTTAACGAGACTTACTTAAGGTTTTCTGCAAGCTTATCTCTAGATAGCGACACACGTCGTTGCATGACGAAACTGTTACGGATAATGGCGAACAATTTGCAATCTCTCGTCTGATAAGATGGTAATCGTAACAGGAAAAATGTACTTCAAGTACTCTTTTTGTTGTTGTACTTCCCGAGGGCTCGTAAGTAGCGACGGCAGAATTAATTTTTTCGGTAATTAAATTGTCGATAAAATTGACTTTTTTGTCTGGGTTTCATGGTCAATCGCTCTTTGATCAATAACAGTATGTTTCAATTGATATATACGTATTTTTTATATAATATATGATAGCATTTAATTATTATAATATAATCACATATTCACACGTATATTTCTCTCGACTGTGACACGTAGAATTATCCTGATACTTTCTTAAATGGCATCCAGTGCAGGTTTGGAATTTTTATGATGCACCATTGATTCGATTATATCATTTTCTAGACAGATACTACTATAAATATGGAAAGTCACATGTACGATCGTTCAACTTTCTATGAAAACGTCCAGGCTAAACCAGCTTGGCAAATCTTCTTGGGCTCTCGTTATCTATTTGATGACATTATTACCTTATCGGAATTTACATAAACGCTACGATACTTCACGGCGCGAATAAAAGCTTTGGCAGATGTTATACCGCATCCTTCTGATACAGATAGGCAGATCCTTTCGTGCCTTAGTGTCGCGCTGATTATTGGGTGAATAACTAACATTATTGCGCGTCGCGTTGTGCGACGAGATAGAGAGGTGTGATTAAATTTATTTGTGCTTAAATGTATTTGTTCGAGTGGGACATATCTTGATAATGACACTTTGATATTATCTCGTTTCGTCGGAGAATGTTATAGCGGTGTAATCGTATTGAGGACGCTCAGACGATCGTGATCTCCCGGAGACAGATCGAAGTCGTGCCACGTGATAGTTGAATCGAACTTTAGTGCAATGACAATGACGGAATCTAGGAAAATGTCAGAGGTTAGTGCCTTTTCAGACAATGTGAGCATGTTTTAATTATCGGTATGTCGCAATTCTGCACATTTTTATCGCGATCGTCGCGTTATTGAAATATAAAATAAGTCTGGTTAAGTTTGTGTGTACAACACATTTAGCGTGGAGAAACGCTGAGTGTTAGGTTGATAGAAACTCCGATATATTTCGGAAGGTACTGTGACGTCAATATATTCTGCCTGGCAACGGCTATTCTTGAAAATTGTGTGTTTTTACTTTTTCAAAGAACAGTTTTAAAAGTTTCTTTATGTTAGCTTTTTGTTCCGACGTATTTATTACGCAAGAAAAAAACTTTCCTTGTATTGGCTGCTTATATAAAGCTCGTGATTCAGGCGCCTCAGTGGTTTTATATTTTTTTAATACTAGCAATAAATGGTACTCTCCAGATATGGAGTTGCGCAGGCGATAATAATCAGTTATTTCTTTGTATCACGTATGTGTCCATGTGTATCGAAATTGCGTGTCCATGTGCTTAAAATATCGGGAACATATCGTAGTTTCTGTTCCGTAATCTAAAGTTTCACGTTGATAACAACATTTAATTACCGTTTTATAATTTTTAAATCAGTTAAAGTTAGAATATCTAATATTTTAGATACACGCAAAAAAAGAACTAGCTTCCAGAGCTAAAAAAATAGCTGTGGCAGATGAGATGTGTCACTGAAATAGGGACAGCTAATACCGAAGCTAAATTTATTCGTTGTTAACTCAGGTGCTACAGCGAGAAATATTAGCTCCTAGAAATAAATGACTGTAACAAATGATTGTAGCTGTACGGCAAACTTCTTTAATATATGCATACCGTAAGAAATTTAGGAATTTAGGAATTTAGGAATTTAGGAATTTAGGAATTTAGGAATAACTGCCATTTTCTTAGCTATTTGAAATAATGCATTTTTAATGTCATCTAATATATTTGTATTTTATAGCGAATGTGGCTTAGCTGTCATAGCCAATTCTTAACAATGACAGCTAGACGATTAGCCTTTTGACTAATGAAGTTTGAGTCAGCTACCACGGTTTAGCTGATATTACTAAATCATTTTTTTGCGTGACATTACATGACATTTCTTTCCTTTCTTCGTGTCTGTGGAAAGTCATTTTTCTTCTTATTTTTTTCTGCGTGTCTTGTTGATTTTATTTTATTAAATATCTTGCATACTTTTGTTGGTATCTCACCTAACATTATTGCATCACGATAAAACATCGATTAAAATTTTGATAGAAGAGAATGTCGGTATGCGTCATCTCTATGTCAACGAAATTTTTCTTGACAAAATCGATAAATCTTTCTGTGGAAGTGACGAGAAAAAAACTGATTTGATGAGATCCCTTATCTTCTGTTAGGACGTAGTCCGATTAATTGTTTTCACCGTTGCAATATTAAAAGATAAATGGAATCGAGTTGAATGTGCCTGTAATCTCATTACGCAAGTACGTTTCTCGAAACAACGTATATACGCGCGTCTGTGTGTGTGTGTGTGTGATAATATGTTGGAGTGTATGTATGTGTGAGTGTAAAAAATCCATTTTTTCTTCTACATTTTTCCTCAGCCCTTCATGTATTCGTGCAGCACCGACGGTGCTGAGCGGCCCGGATCTTTCCCTTGGCGTCGATTCCAAGGTAACCCATACGATGCAAATATTATAACGCAGTTCCCGCGTGTTATTGGCAGGCAAAGAGGGTTTCCCTGGGCGTTGGCGAGGCTTTGCAGGAGCGTCCGTCGGACGAGCCGGAGCGTGGTAGCTGGTCTAATCCGATCGAGTTTGTTCTATCCTGCATCGGGTATGCCGTTGGCATCGGCAATGTTTGGCGTTTCCCTTACCTCATATATCGTAATGGTGGCGGTACGTACGTACATACATATGCGCTCGCTCGCACGCACGCACGCACGCGCGCATGCACGCGTGTGTAGCCGTATCTGTCCTGCGGCATGCGCGTACGTAAAACGCGTGCTTCAGACACGACTGAACCGTAAATACAGTCCGGGTTTGCCGTGCATCCGATAATCTGATTAGATGATCTGATTCAATAATCTCAATCGATAGTCGATTCTACGGATTGTCCGATTTATTCTCACATTTCGACATTTAAATTAGCTGACATATGCGAAGTGCTTTCTGCGCGGGGTTCTTTTCTCCGAGGATGCACGTTGTTTCTGCGTATCGCATGCTCTTTTGACAAGCCGTTACTGAAACAAAAAAAAAAGAAGTTAAATTTTAGGAAATGATAGAAAAGAGAAGATAGAGAAACCTGGAGCATAATAGGATCGCTGACTATAAACTCGCCATGAGGTGTCGTCGATAATTTTTTAATATATTTAAAATTTATTTAAACCTTATACGCGCGCGCGTGCGTAGTTCTCTTTCATTATGTATCAGGTTCCTCTACAATAAAATCGTAATCTTGAAGTTGTGACTTGAAGTCACTATCTGATATTATTAACTATTCATCGTTCCTCCCTGATGAAGCGGACTGAAATGTTCTCGAAACGGAATCAAACAAAGAAGAATCCACGCGGCTCAAACCCAGAAATCAAATCTAATATGCACACTGAAAAAAATTTCTGATAATAATTATCCAGTCTGTGTTATAATTACTACATTTAGTGAAATAGTATCAACTAAATATAAGAGGTGAATATTACTATATGAAAGTTAATGTTACTAACAATTTTGTAATTATTATCAAACATTGGTAACATTTACCATTATTAGTTACTATTTACCAAATGGTATGGTAAAACGTACTTGGTAAGTATTACCAAACTTTTTTTTTCAGTGCATGGACACCGCGAAAGCCTAAAATATCAAATTATTAACTATTGTTATAGGAGCATTTTTGATACCCTTTATTCTCATGTTGATAACAATGGGTCTGCCTATCTTCTACCTGGAGCTTTGTTTGGGACAGTACGTCGCGCTTGGGCCCATAAAGGCTTTCAGCCGTATGGCACCAGCTTTTCACGGTGTGGGTTATTCCACCCTGGTCGTAATGGCACTGGTGCTTATATATTACATGGTGATCGTTGCATGGACTTTATTTTATATTTTCGCGTCATTTTCGCCGAATCTCGCCTGGGCTTCCTGCAATAACGATTTCAACACAGTGAGTAAGTAAAAGTGAATTTTCGTGTACAAAATTTTATTTTGCTTAACAAACTAAAAATATCAAATGTAACTTAATATTCAAGAATTTTCGCGTGTTTTAATGTTATTCGTTAGTTTGTAGACACTTACTTCAGACGCTAATATCAATATGGATAGATTGTTTCAGCGGCCTTGAGGACGCAAAGTGCAAGGAGAAAGATCCAAATTCCATGTTCTATAACAATACTTGCAGGACTATCCAGGAGATCTGTAACGTCAGATACTTAGGCAATGAAACTGGTTGTTTTGAAGATGACGGGTTCAAGCCGTTTACTCGCGTATTGTCGTCCGAGGAGTACTACAGGTACGAGGTATACAATATGTCCCACTTCAAATCAATTATTTTTGAACGACAGATCTTTTTGTTCAATTTGGAGTCTGTTTTATCTTCGACGCGAAAATGTCGACGCACCGATAACTTTCACATTACGTGAGCTCGAGAGGGAGACCATTTTCACAAATCGAATTCAGCATGCCGAATGGAAAAGTAAAATGAAGCATTCTTCGGCAAATGTCGCAGCTGAAATTTACCTTAATAGAAATTAAATGTAGAGGTCAACTCCGAAAATAAGTGTATAATATTTAGAACCTAAAAATCGCGGATGCAATCGATAATTTTCTCTGACGTTTTCCGCCAGAGAAAAATTCCGAATCGTCCGGGAAATCTGGCATTACAAAATAATGCGGTGGAAGTGGGACATCGTGTATATTGTCATCAGCGCTGCATCGTGTCGGAGGATCGGTAACGAACCTTACGCCGCTGTTCAGCGTTGAGGAGCAAGCAGAGAAAATTGCGCGTGCTCAAGTCTGCAAAAGCGTGTAATTGTCGATCACATCCAGTAACTACGTTCTCGGTATACGCGGTGCCACATGGGAGAACTTTGGTGGCATACGATGGGAATTGGTCGGATGCCTCACCCTGGCCTGGGTGATCTGCTGCCTCTGTTTGATACGTGGAGTTCAGAGCGTTGGCAAAATTGTCTACTTCACTGCGCTCTTCCCTTATGTTATCCTTATAGCGCTGCTGATACGAGGTAAGAACCAGAAAGAAGCTTGCCTATTTGAGCGGATAATATAGATCGCAATAGCGGCAACGTCGCATCGTGTGCACTCCAAAAGAAGGACATGGTGATGGTAACTATATAAGTGACAACTAGACGAGTTTTGTACATTGAATTAATCAACTTGCAATTATTTCGCAGTTATTGAAGCTCTTTAGTTGCGATAACAAAAAAACAGGTCATTAAAAAACTACTTACTCTACGATTTTATATACAAAACGTGTATAGATGTCACCTATACTGTTGTCATCTAATTGCCATTATTGTATGTTTCCCCGGATGTAGCGTCTCCAAGAGAAAGACATGGTGATGGCGACTGTACAGGTGATAACTATACGAATTGTATGTCGAATTAATGTAAATAGTTGAATATTTATTAAAGAGTGTCTTGCAGTTATCTTGCAGTTATTGCAACCGAAGCTTTAGTTGCAGTTACTGGAAAGTAATTTTTTAAAAACTATATTATAATTCTAAATACTATATTATAATATACATTATAATTTTACATACTTGGTTGTCATGTATATAATCGCCAATATTATGTTTTTCCCGGAATATAATAGCGTCATGAGGCTCGGTAATCCCGTAGCACGAGTGCAACTCAGCGAGATATTCGCGCAGGTGTTACGTTAGGCGATGGCGCAGCCGAAGGGATTTTTTGGTACATCACCCCGGACTGGTCGACGCTGACGAACGCGAAGGTCTGGGGAGACGCGGCCTCCCAGATTTTTTATTCCCTCGGCATCAGCTGCGGTTCTCTAATCACTCTCTCGAGTTACAGCAAGTTCAATAACAATTGCCACAGGTATATGAGCGGTCGTATTCTTTCTCGCAACGATCCCTTTTTACCTGCGCCCCGACCGGGAAAAAAAAGGGTCGCCTGAGACATAACAATCCGACGATTCACACTAGTCAATAACTTTCTCGGATTCTTTCATCGTCAGGGACGCAGTGTTCGTTAGCATCACAAATCTATTCACGTCCGTTTTCGCCGGCTTCGTGATATTCTCGATAATTGGATTTTTGGCCCAGCAAGTACATATGCCAATTAAGGACGTGGTCAAGAACGGCCCTGGATTAGCTTTCATCGCTTACCCGGAAGCGGTGGTGCGAATGCCGCTACCCAATCTCTGGGCCATCCTGTTCTTCTTCATGCTCTTTATTCTCGGTCTTGGTAGTCAGGTGAGTGCACTGCGAGCTTGGCCAATATTGCTCGCCTCAACACGCTTTCTCTTCCAAGTATTTTCCGAGTAAGGAAAATTCCGTCTAGAAAAGAAGTTAATGCGTCTAAGCGAATATAGAGGGTGTCCCGCGTAAGACGGACCAAAAGAAAAATATAAGTAGAACACATTAAAGTGAACAAAAATTATATAGGCCATTTTTCAAACAACCACGTAAAATTTCGAGATATTAATTAAAATAGTTGAGCATATCAGAGCGCGGAGACACGGCAGGTGGGACATACGGCCCGCCGCGGCCGGCAAAGAAAATGGATGATTGCTCGCGGGCCTATCTTATAGACCAGAGAGGTGGGCCATTTGGTATACTGAAATGAGTAGCTCCGTGTGTGCGTCCGTGTACGTGTGCGTTCTTCCATTTTCTTCGCCGACCGCTGCGAGCCGTATGTCCCGCCTGTCGCATCGCGCGTTCTAATTTGTCCAACTATTTTAATTAATATCTCGAAATTTTACGTGGTTGTTTGAAAAATGACTTATACAATTTTTGTTCACTTTTATGTGTTCTACTTATATTTTTCTTTTGGTCCGTCTTATGCGGGACACCCTGTATGTCTCGTGCATTGTGCAAGATTTGATATTATGTGCTTTCACGCCTGTCGTGATAGCGAGCTTGAAATGTTGTACAAATGTAACGTTTTAAGAGTGACTTAATAGGGCTGGTTAAAATTGACGAAATCAAGTTGACTCGATCAAGAGACGAAAAGGCCGAAAGTATGATTTCTATTCTCCGGTTAGGAGAATTTCTACTTTTGTCACTTATGCTGATGAGAAAAATAATTGCCGGTGCGACTGAGCGGGGCGGTCGGAGGGCGTGAGGATGGAAGAGATGCGAATTTCAATTTTCTCCCGCGTAACGAGAAACATCGTCGCGCTAACTGCATTTGTTCCAGAGAGTTGTGCATTCGCTCGGTCCGGCTCTATGTCTTCTCTGGTTATTTGAAATAGTTCGGCCGCGCGCGCGGTAAATGGGGCGAAATGATATGCGTTGCGCGTAGTATAAGTAACCATATGTCCTGTATTTCTTAGAACATTTCTAAATTCAAATCGAGTAACAATCGAAAAATTATTTCTTACAAACTGCATCGCGCACAAACTGGGAATCGAGTGAATATTGACGTTATTACATAAATGTTCCAATAACTAAAAGAAATAATAAGAAATAAAATAATCAATAAGTATTAATTATAATTTTAATAATATATAAATAGTAACAACTGAAGAGGCAAATAAGGAGTACAGCACGGATGTCTTAGTGCTATTAAATACTAATATTATATAATATTAATATGATAGTGGGAGGATAATTATGTCAAACGCACGTATCGAAATTTTTCTTCGATTAACGTACGCGGCGAATCTACCTTTCATACTTAGACCGATCCTTGAGTCCCAATTATATATATATATATATATATATATATATATATATATATAT